TTTTCCCTTTTTCTTTCTTAATAACATTACTGTGGTATGATTTACAGTAATTTGACACCCACAAATTAGAGGAGAACAGGTTTATTTTGGCTCTATAGTCAGCTGGCTTCAAGGGAGGATGGCACAGCAGAAAATAGCTTATGGCATGCAGGAAGCAGATAGACATTGGGGAGGATGGAAGGCCATGCCTCTGGTGACCCACCTTCTGCAACCACGCTTCCCCACCCAACATCACATTTAACTCTGTTCTTCAGGGGTCATGTTCCTGTGATCCATTAGCTTCCCAAAAGTACCACCTGTGAGTGCATGAGGCATTGAAGTGACATCCAGATATAAACCATAGCAGTGAGTGTTCAACTCAGTGATTTTTTAAGTAAATTTGTAGAGTTGGGCAGCTGTTTTCACAGGCTAGTTTTAGAACATTTTCATTACCCTAAAAAGAAGACAGGTGTCTATTTAATGTTAACCCCTGTTACCCACTGTCAACTTCAGGTTGGGGTGTGATCTGCTTTTTGTCTTTAGAGTTGCATTTTCTGGTAGTTTCATATAAATTGAGTCTTATAAAATGTAATCTGTGCTCTACGTCCTTTCCATATGTTTTTTGAGGTTCATCCCATGTTTCCCCAAATATAAGACCTAACTAGAGATCAAAAATGCCAGTCCCAATGAGCTTATCCTTGCCTCACGTGCCACTACAGAGTAGCTCTTGAGTAAGAGAATAATGAGGTGTCATCTTATGGCACTGGCTGTCAGCATAGTAATGACTAGCTATTAATTACAGCTTAGGTTTATTTTCCTATTTGGTCTTATTTTCAGGGAAATAGGGTTTGTTGTAGTATGTATCAATTCATTTGTTTTTATTGCCAGATAATTCTTCCATTATATGATTATACCACATTTTATTTACTCCTTTACCAGTTGGTGAACAATTGGATTATTTCCAGTTTTTGGCTTTTATGAATAGTGTTATATATATTCTTGTACAAGTCTTTATGTCAACATATATTTGTATTTCTCTTGAAAAGGCAGGCAGCTAGGGATGGAATCACTGATACGTGTCTACATGTTAACTCTTTCTCAAACTAGTAGTGTCACAAAATGACTGCATCCTTTTGTATTCTAGGAACAGTGCATGATGGTTCCATGTTGTATGCACCCCAGCAGATAGCTATTTCTGTCAGTGTTCATGACTAACCATTCTCGCAGCTGTGTAGTATAGTTCTTTCCCTTCATATGATATATCTTTTTATTTTTTTACTGAAGAAAAACATTTTTAATTTGGATGAGTATTTTTTAATAGGTGAGTTCTGCTTTTACTCTCATATTTAGAAATGTTACTTTTCCACTTCTGAAATTTCCACTTGAAAGTTTGCATTTTTAAATCAATAGTCCCTATTTGTTTAGTTATATCATATATTTACTTTAAGCATAAGTTCTTTCAGTTCTTTGAATATATGTATGGTAACTTTCTTGGAAATTTTTGGCTGCTAAATCCAAGATCCAATTTTATTCAGATAGAGCTTGTGGTAGCTACTTTTTTTTTGCCTCTTAGTATTGGTCACAGTTTGTTGTTTGTTTGGCTTATAGGTTTTTGTTGTTGTTGAATTGCACATTTTATACAGTATACTGTCTATCGTAGTATCTCTGCACTGTGAATTTATTTGTTTCCCCCTTGCAGTGTCTTGCTATGTATTCCAGGCTGGCCTGGGATAGCCATCTTTCTGCCTCAGGCTCTTTAGTATTGAGATTATGGTCATGTGCTACATATTGACCGCCTTTAGCTACTTAGAAATTTGTAGTTTTATTTTTATTTTGCCTTTTTGTGTTTGTACCTATGATTACAGAGAGTTGAGTGCTTAGTTAATGATTGGTTGTAAGTTGTGTACAAACACTTTGAGCCAGTAGACTTACACCTTCTGCTGTGGATTTTATGTGCTTTGGGGTCACATTCAAAGTTCCATATATTTTCATGTTTGCCTCTTTTTTTGTTTTATAACAATTTTATATTTTATATTTTTTTATTTTAAAGAGAAAAAATAAAGACAAAAACAAAACAATAAACACAATACAGAATTTCAAAACCAAATGATAGAGAGTTAACAATGATTGTTGTGTTACATACATACTGTTATCGTCAATGAAGTTGCTCAGATTAGTGTAAGAACCTGAAAGAGTAAATAAAACCCAAAAGGTACAATAGATATTGTGAAAGGGAAAGAAACTGCCCGAAGGGAAGAAACAACTGGGATGAGGAAAAGGACAAAAGAAAGATAGAAGAAAGGGAAAAATATATGTATATAGAAGGATAACTGTGATAATTATACTGCTGATGTCTGTTGGTTTATTGAAAGGAACAATTAATGCTTATTTTTTTTTTGCCTCTTTTCTTTTGTGTTAAGCTGTGCCGTGTCTCCTGTGTGTGAGTGTAGGTAGTACTTTGTTTCTGTTTCTGTTCTGTGGTGCTGGTGAATGCCAGGCAGGTGTTCCGCCACTGAACCACACCCCCATGCTGGAGGCAGATTTTCTGTCAGCCCAGGGATGTGTGGTGAGTTTGTTCCCTCTCAGGTTTGCAGATTCCCTTCTCCATACTCTCAGCTTCTCAATTAGCTGGCATTTTGTAATGAACTTGGGCATTTGGGGTCCTACCTGTACCTGTGAGCAGCCTTCTTGTCAGCCAGAGCTGTGTGGATGGCTAGGCACTTTTCTCAGGATTTGTAGAGAAATTAAGTCCTCCTATGGCTGTCCTATTTCCAAGATCTCCCTGTTAAATTTCTACCTAGTCTTCAGATTTATGTCTTGCTCCAGTAGCTTCAGGCTTAAAGAGCTGTATATTTTCCTTTTTTCCACTTGCTGTGCGTTTCTTCCGCTGTACTCCAAGGCCATCCCCTTTTGGCAGTGAGGCTGCTGGTTTTTAATCACTTTGACAGAACTTCCACATTTGTAGAGCTAGGGTAGTTAATGAAGCTGTTCCCTGGTAAGATGCAAGATTAGTACCATTCTTATCAAGAAGTTCATTGTTTGACGTGACTACAATGTTTCCTTTGATTACATTAAGAATACAAAAATTGTTTTTAGTGGTTTCATTCAGCTTTATATTTTGTTTTCTGAGGGCAAATTTTGTATTTCCCTAGGAACAGAACTTGGATTTTAAAACCTATGAATATTAGATTTCAGTTCCAAATATTTTTTTTCTAATTCATGCTTGTGGGGATAGAGAATGAATGAGTTTTTAAAAAATAAGATGATAGAGCGAGTTGATTTCAGACTTACCTCTCTGTAAACAGATTTGCAAGTACATATTGAGGTTAATTAAAAGCTTTGGTGGCTCTTGTTGAGAGTGGAGTTGTTGTGTTTTCAGAGTAAGTCAGCTGTTATTGATGAAACACCCTTAAGTGAAGTGTTCTTCATTTAATAGCAATTTTATGAAATAGGGTTTGTACGTATGATTAGTGCACAGATAATAGGGTTTGTACGTATTCTCAGGTTAGACCTGAGAAGTGTGTGTCTGGTAGGGATGATTCTTGAGCCCATTTCCTTTCACTTCTTGTTCTTTACACTTGAGATAACTGTTTCCCTACCATATCATAATTAGTTGCAGATTCTTTGATAATCTTAGTGTATTTATTTAGGTAGTTCTTGAGGTTAGACTAATTTATGACAGTCTTCCTGAATTTTTTTACTTTAGCAGAAATTCTTTTCTTTTAATTGATAATAACCTTTAACTAAATGAAGAGTTCCTATTTGTTGAAGGCAGTTATTTAGCAAACTAGTAAGAGTCAGAGAATGAGATATCCCATGGCAGCTTCCTCTGCCAGCTTCTTTTTTTTTTCTTACTTCATAGATGCAGATTCTGCCCAAGAAGCCCCTGCATTGCAGAGGGACTGGAGATCTGTATGTTGTTTATTTCGCAGTTGACAAGGGTAAGGGGGTTTTTTATGGGGGAGGTGCGTGGGTGCCCTGAATTTAGTCTTATGTAGCTTAGCCAAACTTTATTTTGGGATTACTTAAATTTAGTATTAAAAAAATACTTCTTTCATGAATTCTGTTTGTCTGATATCAGTTATCAGATTATCATATTAAAAAACATTTATTATAAATTTTTAAAAAGCCCTGTTCAGAACAAGTCAGACAAATAAGATTCATTCTTCTAAAATTCTAAATCTAGGATTGTTTAGGATATTAATAATGTAGAATTTATGTAAGTAAACTTACAATAAGTTTTAAAAGTTTTAGATAAGCAAAGAGTATCATATTCTTTATTAATTATTCTTTTTTTTCCTTTTCCATAAATCTGTCAACCTAGAGGGTATAACTGAAGGGACATGGATATATCACAAATATTGTGGATGGGCATGGTCTCTTTTCTTGCTGCTACAAATCAGTACTTTTTGAATTCTTTGTTTACTCTGGGTGCCAGTGAAAGTTGAATTTTAACTTCAGCCTAACTTGCTTCTGAGGAGTAGATAAGTATAAAAGTGCAGGTGATGACTCTTATGGGAGCCAAGATTAAATTTTGTAGGTTTTACTTGGCAGGTTGTAGAACAAGTGCCAAAAGTGGCAGCATTTATAGTAAGATATGATTAAAATAGGTGAGGAAGAGTTTAATGCTCTTTTAAAATCACAGAAGCATTGGGCTGGTGCTTGTGACGTGGTAGGTTGTGGAGAAGACTCGAGTTCATGGATAGATTGAGGGGGTTTTCATTTTTGAGGATGGTAGTATACCTGTAAAGAACCTTGTGTACCTGAAGTAATTTATATATTTCTGTAACTTGAATATTTGATACTTTCAGTATTCTGTCCTCATATCTTTAAATCATCTTCTTTCAACATTTAATTTGTAGATGTAAAGAATTCAACAATAGTATTTTGTATTTTATCATTACCACCATTAATAAATACTCCACTTTCCAGTGTCAATACATTTGGAAAACTATTTTTATTCTTAAGCATCTTAAATGACCTTTTTTTTTTTTCTTTTTCTTTTTCCTGTTTTCTTTAAGCCATAAGGATGAGTTTACCATTATTCCTGTACTGGTTGGAGCTCTGAGTGAGTCAAAAGAACAGGAATTCGGAAAACTCTTCAGTAAATATCTAGCGGATCCTAGTAATCTCTTTGTGGTTTCTTCTGATTTCTGCCATTGGGGTAAGTTCTAGATTTTAACATATCATGGTAGATATTATATATGTGTGTCATTCTAAGCTCTGATTTTCAGTTCTGTATCACTCTCCTTGGAAAGTTTTACTTTTAGCTGCAGTGAATAAAAAAGATTTTTGGTCATAAAAGGTCAGATTATAGTAGTGGATTATGGACACATTTCCAAAGGCGACTGGTATAATTGGATTCACATTGTGAGGGCATCCTTGCTTTACTAATGTTAGTGGGAGTTAAGACCTTTGAATCTCATTCCACCTATGTGTGTACGGTAGATTCTCTGAAGTTTTAGTGGGTAAAACAAATATTCTTCTTTAGAATGTAGAAGAGCTCTGTGTGCTATGCTAGTCTTTTCCAAATTTTCCTTTTTTTGTAATTAGTCTTTCTTTTGGTGCTTATTTTTTTTGCCCACAGTTGCCTTCATCTTAAAGCTACCTGCATTAGCACTATGGTCTTCCTTGGAAATGCTTTATGATGGTAAAGACTGTTGTGATTTTTTGATTATTGTGAATTATAAGAGTAAAGAGTAAGGCTACTGTATCACTGTGAGTAGACCATGAAGGAAATGAGACATTGTGGATTCCTCTTTTAGTAAACTTTATTTTCGTGTTCTTTGGATGCTGTTTGCTCTCATTTATCCATTACTGACCCAGAATAGATTTCTTTCCTCTTGGGACATCTCTTTGGCTCATTTATGTACTGGTTTAAGGATGCCAATATCTATTCATTCATCAGCTGTTACTTTAATTATAAGAAAATATAAAGCATAACCTGTAAATTTTAAGGTAGAATGCTAGGAACCCAGAGAAACATCCTCTATAAGATATAGGAAACCCTGACTTTTTACATGTATTTTCCTTCCTTCGATTGCCAGGATTGATTCGACATGTATCTGGCTTGGTTAGGTCTTGTTTTGCATTCTTCTCTGAATGACCTTCTTAAAGTTCAGATCTCAGTTTAAGAGAACTATCTTTCATGATGGTACAGATGTTGTGTGTGTGTGTGTGTGTGGGGGGGCACTGTTTCTCAACTAGGGATAATTTTCCAGTTAGAGGGTATTTGAAAATGACTGGGAACATTTTTATCATTAAACTGCCATGGGTTTAAGGGGTGGTGATGCTATTAGTATCAAATGAGTAGAGTCCAGGGAAGCTGGTAAATAAACACTGTATAATGTGCAGAACAAACTCCTATTTCCTAGTCAAAAAAATGCCTAGCTCACGATGTCAATAATGCAGAGTTTGAGAGACCCAGATTTAGGGTGTGCAGGTAGCTTAAGCTTCCTTGTGAAACTCTCACAGAAGCTCTCAGGATTTTTAAATAACTGATTGTATTGGCTAGTTAGTAGTACTGCATTTGACAGAAGGTGATTTTTTTTTTTAATGGATATAAATGTATTATATCTGAGGGCCCAGGTAAAAAATTTCTTTCTTGGGAATTTAGAAATGTAATAATAGTCTTAAAAACAAATTATCTAATACCATTACTGAAAGAGGTCCACTTTTCTTAGTACTATAAGTTTGTGGTGGTAACAAGGTATATTGATACATTTGGCTTTGTTTTTGTTTTTTGAGACCTGACCTCACTATGTAGTTCAGGCTGGTTTTGAACTCACTGTGTAGCTCTGACTGGCGTTAAACTCATGGTTTAGCCTTAAACTCTGCCTTAGCCTCCCAACTCCCAAGTGATAGGATTACAGATGTGCACCACCACACCCAGCTGGAAATCAAAATTTTTGAATCAAGTGCCCTGTTAGTTTTCATTTTGAAGGCTCTTATGAATGACTTGATTTAAATAATTAGTTCCCCTGATACTGTTTTTTAGAATCTGGGCTGTTTTTCTAGGTTGGCAACATGTACAACTTCAAACATAAATCTATATAAAACATCAGGAGATATTTTAATATTGCTGTTTTCTGTGGAAATATTCTTTAAAGCAAACAAACCTTAGTCCACTCTTCCATGTAACTATAATTGTTGAGTGAGAAAAATAAATTTTCTGTTATATGCTACCTAGATTTTCAGAAGTCCATTTAGGCCAATTTATTTAGGCCTGATTTCTTGAAAATTTTTATATTTAAATTGTAAGATAGGGTTTTTAGGTGATAATGTTAAGAAGAGAACTCAGTTATCAAAGTTTGATAAACAGTAACTGTGAGAATTCTCTAGAAATCAAAACATTTATATTTACATTTGGTGATTAAGTAATAGAGCTTTTCCAAGCATTTAGTTTTTATTCCTGGTACCGGAGAAAAACGAAAAAAAAAAAAAAAAAAAAAAAAAGACAAGCATTTAGTTTTTAGAGGCACTATCCCTAATAGTACTCATAAATTGTTTAAATTTGTTCATATGCAAACCACTATGCTATTACTTTCTCAGAAATTTGCTGGTGTCTGGGGGTTAGTGAGAGGTATAACATGGATAATATTCCAGAATTGCTAGTGTCTGGGGGTTAGTGAGAGGTATAACATGGATAATATTCCAGAATTGCTAGTGTCTGGGGGTTAGTGAGAGATATAACATGGATAATATTCCAGAATTGCTAGTGTCCTTGCTTCATTCTACCATAGTAAATATTCTTATAAAGTAAGGTAATTTTCTGTTTTGCGTGCTTATTGAAGTTAATGTGAGTCCTTGGCTAGCTATGGGTTAAGCTGTCTTAGGAATTAAGTTTTATGTTTCACAAATGTATGCTATAGTAGTATTTGTTATCCTAGATTAGTTAGTGTGCTATATTACTGCTTCTAAAGTTTAGTTGCTTCTCATGAAGAACATACTTAGTGATTTTTTTTCCTGTTTTTTAAAGTTGCTTTTTTATCATGTGAAAGCAAGCATAAATTGAATTCTAAAGAATTTCACAGGAATGATTTATTTCCTCACGTATACAGATATTATAAGGCTCGTTGAGTTAGGCTTTCAACACATTGCAATTTCCAGTAGCTGATTTTTGAAGAAAAAAATGTAATTATTTGACATTTTACTCGGACATATACAGTAAACGTTTGTTTTTGTTGAGCAGCATTATATTAGACTAGTTGACAAGGACTACAGTTTTTGTTTCTAGTTATTCTCTTTACAGTTGGACCAGCTTTGCAAAAATAAAGTGAAAACTTAGTGGTAGAGACCATTGGGATCTAATATGTAAACTGGAAATACTTTTCCTTACTTGGTAGCCAGTGTCCTATTAAGATGACTTTTTATATGTCTTTTTATATTTTCATATGACTTATTTTTTTTACTTTATAGATACTTGCTTTTCAGACCCTATTTAGATTTTATTTAGACTTAAAAAGAGACATTAAGACTAAAATACTGTTTACTTTTTGAGTTAAACCAAGGCAAGGGAAACAGGAACCTGGATTCTGTTATTCCTCCTTTTTTCTGTCTTGTCCTTTAAGCTCCCCATAATGAAGTCTTGCATTTTATTTCCTGCCTTTTATCTTGTGATCAGTCATATGAAAATGCCTTTTCAGTACCATAGGATGATGTATCTCATTCTTACGATCCTACCTCATTTCTCCTTTACTGCTAGTAGGAGTTACTGGATTTAAGTGAAAGACATTTGCTATTCTTGCCAAGTTCTTTTTTTGTTTGTTTTTTTGAGACAGGATCTCACTATGTAGTCCAGGGTGGCCTTAAACTCACCATGTAGGCTGGCCTTGAACTCAAGTGATCCTCCTGCCTCAGCCTCCCAAGCGCTGGGCTTACAGGCGTGCACCAGCACCTAGTGCCTTACCAAAATGTTTATCGAATAGAATTTTTGGGAGCTATTTCAATTTTTCTAAGGAATAAAATTTTCATTCTTTTTTAGGGGGTGAGGTAGAGTGGTAGTACTGGAGATTGAACTCAGGACCTTTAGTCTGTGTTATATCCTCAGCCATATTATATTTTATTTTGAGACAGTATGTCAGTGAGTTGTCCAGTCTGGGCTTGAACTTGCCTCAGCCTCCCAGAGTATTGGGATTATAGGGATGAACTATTATGTCCTTCTGTATGTATTGGTAATATTTATGCTTTTTCTTTTCTGAAATATTTATTTCCAAATTTAGATTATTGACAGTTTTTATTGACATGATTTTCAGTTAAATTTTAATGAGTCTCAAAGTGAAATTGGGTCTAAAAGCAGTTGATTCTTTAAAACTGAAGTCATGCTTTTGTTTGATTTGCCTTTTATGAAGATTTTGCAGATCAATTCCATCAATTTGATAAATGTTTGTGATACATTTTGTTAAAATATAAATAAAGTTTGAGGGGTCCTAGCAATTTTGAATTTATTTAGGCTTATATTATTTTATAAATATGTGCCACTTACCTAAATATATATATTTTCAGGTTTTTCTGAATATATATTCAGGTTTTTCTAAATATATATATTTATTCAATATATATTAATGATTATGCATATTCTTCTTCCTGTTAGTCTTGGGGGTGCATGTGTCCTTCTTTCTAAATATTTAAATTGATATGAATGTTAGCTAATTAATAAAATATATCTTATCCAAGCCTTTATATTTGTATTCTTAAATATTTGTGTATACTGGTTTCACAAATTCAGGGTTTTGATCTTTGCAGGATTGAGATAGAGCTAATACTTTTACATTATAATGAAGACTTCAGAATGAAAGGAACATAGCATTTAGTTTTCAAAAATGATTACTGTTATCTGGGTGTGGTGGTGGACTCCTGTAATCCCAGCACTCTGGAGGCTGAGGCAGGAAGATTGCTGAAAGTTCAAGGCCACCTTGGGCTACATAACAAGACTCTGTCTCAAAAAAAAATTACCTTACTTTATGTTACTTAGGTAATATTTCCTTTATGAAATACATTTTTCTTTCATTGTCATTTCATTTATAAATGTCCTCAGTTTGGGGCCTTATTATAGAACTGCCTAATCTCTCAAAGATTTTTGTGAGGCTTACCTCAAAATACTTGAAAATGGGCTAACCTGTAAGCAAAGTGAATAAGTAAATGTTCAGTGCAATTTTTGTTTGACTTAACATCTGAAAGTCTGTCTCGTCTTTTGGGGGCTTTATAAATAGGTAACTTTCCAACGTCATTATCTCTGCAGTTCAGTGCATAGCTTAATAGTGAGATATTCTGTAATTTTTTACTTTTTGTTTCAAGGTAGTTAAAAAAGTAGTGTTGGTTCTTGTACCATTCATTGTTGTTTGTCCTCATTAGTTGATTGTTGTGTGTTAAACAGACATCCCTGGAGCTTACTCTCCACACTCTGTGAATCCACTCATTAATCACCAGTCACCTTTGGAGATGGGAAAATTACTTACCTGTATTTCTTTTTCTCAGAAAGCGTGCTCTGGAATGGATTCACAAATGAGCTACCCTCCTTCCCTCAAAGAGTAAGGTTTCTGCTTTACAGGATTTTTTTCTTGGGTTATTTTTCCTCTCATCTTTTGAATTTGAAAAGAACTGAGGGAAGGCACCTGAAGAAACTACTGACATACTCACTAGGGGAGTTCCAAAGCTTGTGCTGCCCCTAGGGGCAGTGTCAATGGCTCTTAAAGCTAGAAAGCTCATACTTGGAGTTGAAACAGGGGCTCAAAGAATCCATTTTCCCAGTGTACCTTCTGAAAGGATAAGTTTCAGGTAAGTAATTTTCTCTTACTATGTGATATGTTTTATTCATACTTATAAAAGTACCCAAGTCCGGTTCTCCAGGTACAGAAGCAACTAACTGTATTTGCTCACAGTGTAGATTCATAATTTTCCTGAAGGTCAGAAATATAAAATCTTGTAGAATAAAATGCATTTGCTTATGAGACACATGAAGTCATAATTTATTTTGAATGAATAATAATTAAAATTGCATTATGATCAGTGTATTATGCTAGTGCTGGCATTTCCTTCATTAATGAATAAAGATTCAGAAACTTATTTTTTTAATATGAAATGAAAATGTCTTTTGAACTCAATTTCCAAGCAATAATTGACTGAGGGGGTCTGTGCACATGCATGTGCACTTACATAATAAACACATATGTGTGTATAACATGTACAGGCTAAGTAAGATGATGGCAACTATGTACTTAAAATTAGATGCATTGTGTGTGTGTGTATATATATATATATATACGTATATAGATACATAGATATACGTATATCTATGTATCTATATACGTATATATATCAGAATGTGTTAAGTATTTGTGTAATTTTTTAAGGTTATAAACAGTACAAGATATTATAAGTAAAATATTTATTCAGGGTAGTAGGTATATGTAGTATGGCTTTTACTTAGTTCATATATTCTTTAGAGCTGTTCAAATATTTATGCTCAAATTTTCAGCTACTAAATGAGGTGATTATAAAAAGTAACAAAAAGAATAGCAAAATATAGTAAACATTTGTTCAAATTAGTTTCCTATGTATTGTGTCATTCTCATTAAATCATATATTAAATCAGTATTTCAGATATTTCAAATGTTCTGTATATGTTTCCTTTAGAAGTAATTTTTAAGGAAAAGTTACATTGAAAATTGCCCATATCAACAGAGTAGCAGTTTAAAGTACTGTTAAACTTTTCACTTACTATCCAGGCAGTGTTGCCATTTGAAACAGCAGCTCTGAACTAGGAAGTAAGGAGAAAACACTTTTGAGTAGGAAACGGCTATCACAAAGTATATGCATTTTTCTTTGTACCTGGAAATAGCAGTTTTCAGGTAGAAAATTATGTTCCAGTCATAAGGCTTCTTGACAAAAGCTAAAACTAACAGCTATTTCCAGAAGCTGGGAAAAAGAGAATGTATTAGTTTAAACCTGAGTCAAAAAATGTATTTCTTTACTTGGTTTCCTCTACGGATATGGTTCTTTCTATAGTGACAATAAATCAGAATGTTCTTGTTAAGATAATTATTTAATTGTTAATTTGTTTCATAAAAGATATTGGGCAGCTTTATAAAAAAACTTTGAAACAGAAGTAAAAATTTAGCACCAATGAATTGAGTCACTAAATTACTGTGACTAAACTTTAGATTTGGCTTTGAGGGGCCTTCTGGCAACCTCCTGGTAGGTGGGAAAAATGGGATCAGTTTTACAGTTCTTAATATCAAGTAATTTCTATTAGCATGTATAGTAGACCTCAAAGAAAAACAGAGCTATCTATACCTAACTTTAAAGTATGAACGAAATACCTGTTGGATTATTGAATATAGCAGCATTTGAGTGACAGATAATCAGTTCTTTTTAAGAATTCCTTTATTCAGAGATTGTAGTAGATCTCATAAGTATGGCAACCTTCAGTAATCTTTATTGTCACATTCAGAAAGCAGATATTTTTTACAGACTGTTGCTCAGTTATAGGATATCATCAGTTAAAAGAGATAATAGTGATTTTAATAGTGGCTCTTGGGAAATTAATAACTGCTACATTGAATAATTATATATATTAACATGTGAAAATTAAGGAAATATAGTATGTTTTAGGAAGCTAAATATCAAAGATGGTTAATGTCAGAAAATGAATGAAATGTTACATTTTATGACATGTGGTTTTTTAAAAAAAGACATCAGGGGTTTTTATAACTTTGCACTACCCAGTATTTATGACAGTATTTGTAGTAAGATGAACAGAAAACTTAAAAATTGCAGTTATCCAGTCAGAGAAACTCAGTTTTTCAAAAGTGAGGATAATAGTTCATAAACTAATAGTGCTTTAAACATGAATCATAAGACAGTACATGTACACAGTTATTATATCTAATACAATTATAAAATTTATTTTGGTGAATCTTTAAAGGTAGAAGAAATGAAGAAAGGAATTGCTGAAAGGTAGATTTAGGTATATGTGAAATACATCATCGTCAATTAAACTAATTATATTATTAACTTGATTTTCGTATAGTAGAAACAGTTTATTTTCTGAACCTTTGTTTTCTATCTCTTTTAAGTTTCTTCCATTTTACCTTCTCTGTTCTTTGGAGAACAGCTAAATATTGAGTGTTCTGTGCTTGTAGTCTTACGGAGATTTTATGTCAGGGTAGGACTATTTATTGTATCCATCCTTTTGTGTATCTTGTTTAAGGCCCTTGTATTGATTCTTTTTCACATAGTGCAAAATCGAGATTATTTTTTTTTGAGGCCATAAAATTCACATAAGCCAAAGATATTGCTGACCTACATGTTCTTTTATTTTTTCTTGCAAGAGAGATCAGATCTTTGCATTTGAACAGTAGGAGCTAAACTTCCATTGATTTGTTACACTGAGATAGTTTTCTTGAACTAAATTTTCTTAAATTATATTTTTTGGGTTTATTTTCCATGATAGACTGATACAGTGTTTAACAATGCTTCTAACTTTTAAGCTGTTTGTTTCCTTAATCTTGTATTACTGGTGACTTTAAGGTTCCTACAATTTGAAAAAGTTTTTAACATTGTAAATCATTGGTGATAATACTATTATTACCTTCCCAAATATGCCTTTTATTTTTATGTAAGAGGGCTATTGGGAATGATTCTCTCAGAGGCGTAAGCTGTGCTTTGCCTTTCATGAGAACTGAAATGATTTGGTAAGCGCCTGCTTTCTTTTTAGCTTCTAATTTTTCCCTATTTTATTTTGTACATGATATTTGTTTCAAGGTCAGAGGTTCCGTTACAGTTACTATGATGAATCCCAGGGGGAGATTTATAGATCCATTGAACATCTAGATAAAATGGTAAGTCTTTCAGGTGTGGGGTTTTAATGCTGTAAGACTTTTTAAAAATTTCAGATTAGTGATTCAAAATTTTATGTTAAAATATACATAGACTAACAGTTCTTGCCCTATTTTTAATTAAAAGTACAAAATGCATTGTGTCCTCACATGAATATTGCCTGTAAGAATAATCCCTGTTTTAATAGAAATTTCCTTCATCATGATTTTATTTGATTAATGGGAGTACCAAAGAGTAATTAGATCAGATTTTAATTCCTTTTTGGAGAAGTGTCTTAGCTTTAGGGACAGTAGGATACTAAAGCTATTATTTATTGTTAAGCTGTAATAATCATAGCATATGATGGAATACTTAGACTGTAATTTCTGTTTGATGGCTACCCAAAATAACTTATTCTGACTTTCGGAACTGTTTTGTTGTTTCTTACAACTTACTAAATTTACTAAATAACTTAGTGTGTTTTTAGGTTTGGTTTGGTAGGAGGCCAACCTAAATTTTTTAATAATCCTGAAGATTTTATGAACTAGTGGCAGAAAACACATGGTGACATGAAGTGTAAATAACTTAAATATTTAAAAGTTTGGTTGAAAACCTTTATTTTTTCAGTTATCACTTTTTTCCTTCAGGAAATAATGAAAAATAGCTTAAAATGTAAAAATTTCAGTACACATAAAATTTAGTAATTTAGACCTTGTTTGCTACACTAAAGGAATTTATATAAATAGTTTAAATTTAGAAAAGTTCAGCTGTATTAAGAATTACATGACTTTTTCACATTTTTCATAACTTCTCAAGTGTATTAAATTTAATGAGATTAATATTTTAAGTATAATAAATTAGAATAATTGGTGTATTTCTATAAAATCTATAAATCAGATTGTTATAGATCAAATTGTATTTTTGTTTTGATTTCATTTCTCATTGATTCTAAGCACGTTAAGACTTGAGCATTGTTTCAACGGCCTGTAGCCTTTGTGTTGAGAGGATTAAAAAAAATAAAAATACTTTTATAAATGCAAATAATTTTTCTCTCTTTTCATGTTCTTTGCTTTTCCTGTAAATTCTTTGTTTATTATTTTATTTTTTAACCATTTGGATTTTACATAAGTGGAAGTTTGTTACTTTAAGTATGGAATTTAAAAATATAATTGTATTTTCATGTAACCTAGGAGCATAGTAGACATTGAACCTACTTCTACTTTTTTGTAAAGTATTACCATAGTCATTGTTTTTGTTTTAGTTGTTTGTAATCATACAAATAGTTTTGAATTAATTCATAAACAGTATTAAATTTAGTGGGACTTGACCAGGTATGGTGGTACATACCTGTAATCCCAGTGTTTGAGAGGCTAAGGCAGGAGGATCGCCGAGAGTTCAAGGCTAGCCTGGGCTACAAAGCGATATATTCCTCCCTCCCGTATAGTAGGGCTATCATTAATTTGCTATATGATCTTTAAAAGATCATTTTAGCTCTCTGGTTCTCAGCTTCTCATCTGTAAGAACAGACAGTGTGCTCCATAATCTCTGAATAATTTTTTACAGTCCATCAGCCTATAGGTCTGCGGTCTGTTCAAATCAATTTATGCATATATTTTAGCACAGATTATTTAGTCTACCCATGTCTTACACTCTGAGTAACTACTTTAAATACAACAATTCTTAATATATTAACTATTGTTATTCTCCTACTATTTCATTAGTGAAACTTTGTCATACTTTTTTCCATAAAAGATTAGTCTAATGTAGCTAAAATATTTTAGTAAGAAATCTAGATCTAATGTATCCACTATTGTAACTGTCCTAATAACCTGTTTTGAAACTCGGAAGAAAAAATGTAGATCTGAACTTAGAGAAAGAATCTATAGTATATTTTATTGACGATGAATGTAATGAATACAGATTTTTCTATTATGAACATTTTATTATATTTAAATTTACCTTCATTGTTACTTTAAATCCAGTTGTTATGTAATACCTTTACCATTTTATTTGGATTTTACTGTATTAGCTTTATAATATTTTCACTTCAGTTTCTTTGCTTTTTGTTAACTTCTTGTTATTCTGAGGCTTAGTTTTCAGTTGTGTTAGAAAAACTTCTCTTATTCTGTCATTTGTTTTCTTCATAAAGCAAATGCTTAGTGATTGCTAAATGTCTGGTACTGTCTGAAGTGTTGAAGATACTGAAAGAGAGAACGTGATCCCTTAGTAAAACTTTTTTTTTGGTACCAGGAATTGAGCTCAGGACCTTGTGCTTGCCAGGCAGACGCTTGTGCCGCTGAGCTATATCCCTACCCCTGCTTAATGAAACTTAAGTTCACTGGTCTGAAAGATTTATGAAGAAGCCCTTGTAATATAGAGATATGCAAAATATTCAGGAGGTAGAATGCAGAGGATTTTCAGTAATATAGCTGCCTTATGTCAAGGAAGGAAGTAATCTGAATGATGTTTGGGTTCCATGCTTACATACATGCTGTCATTCACTCATAAAGTAAATGTGAAGGTACATTTCTAAGGAGAAAGATGAGTTCAGTTTTAGATACAGTTTTTATGGTATGTTTAGAACTGCACTTGTTAGTCACATACATTTATGAAGTACTTGAAGTGTGAATAATGTGACTCTAGATGTGGTATAAGTATAAGAAAAAAGGGAAAGAAAGGGTATTAATGCCTTTGACAAAAAGAGTAATGCAAGTGTCTAAAGAGAGAATATAGAATCGGGGGAAGAAGGGCAGTTAGGTCACAGGGACATAACTAGCATTAAGTGGGTGTGGAGAGAAAGGAGAGCCAGTTAAAAATTGTGCTTAAGGAGAACCAAGAAGTGATAATACAGAAAAGGAAGAGCTTTTAACCAAGAGAGAGGAAGATCTATCGAATGCTGTGATGAACTAAGAACCTTCTCCTTTTTTTTGAGACAGGGTCTCACTGTTCAGGCTGGCCTTGAACTCATGTCAGTCCTCCTGCTTCAACCTCCCAAGTGCTGGAATTAGGGATGTGTGCCACCATGCCTGGCAAGAACCTCTCAGAACAGCTTCAGATAAATAATCTATAACTACAGTGAAGAGGTGAAGACCAGATGCCAAAAATAGTTCTAGTAGTTTGATTGTAATAGGGAACAGTAGTGTTTGAGTGCTTATACTGGTTTGGTGGATGAGATGTAGGGAAGCATAGTCAAAGGAAGCCTTTTCGTAGGTGGAAACAGTTCACTTCAAAATCCTGAGTAACATTAATCTCTGCTTTAGGCCTCTCTTAGATTTGACTTTCAAAATGATACCAGCTGTATCATTCCTACTTCTACTAGGCATATTAGTTTCCCAGTGAATTTTATTGAGGTAGGATGGAATATCTAAGAACTGGGGTCTTACTCATGGGTAGGGCATGTGTTTAACACTCACAAGGCTGTGGGTCCAATCCCCAGCACCAAAAGAAGAAGAAGAAGAACAACAAAAAAGTGTGCAAAAAAATAAGAAAAAGGAGGAGGAGGACTGTCTAGGAGGAGTAGTGGCTATATATATGTGAAATATAAAATATTTGTGGAACCAGTTATGGTAGTGCACACATGGAATACCAGCACTTTGGGAGGCTGAAGCAGGTGAATTGCAAATTGAAGCCCAGGCTGGGCTGCTAAGTGACTTAGCAAGACCTTGTCACAAAATAAAAAATAAAAAAGGCTGGGGATGTACTTCAGTGCAAAGGCCTTGGGTTCAGTCCCCAGGAAAACATATGTGCCTGTGTGCACGCATACATACTCACACACAGTGCAGTGCATATAGGTTTCTCCCTTTTCATTACAATTTTCTTTATTTTGCTAGTCTTAACTGTACAGAAAAATAATCTTTAGAGGTATTTGACTACCCAGGATTTCCAAAGTAAAGTCTTTCAGGAGGTGGCTTTTAGCAAGTGTGCACTAAATTTTATGAAAAAGTAGTACTTTCTGCACCAAAACCACTAAGAATAACTCAACTGTTTTCTCAAACTCCATATGTCTTTCCCTCTCTCTCTCTCTCTCTCCCTCCCTCCCTCCCTCCCTCCCTCCCTTCCTTCCTTCCTTCCTTCCTTCCTTTCGTGGGTACCAGGAATCAAACTCAGGACCTTGTGCTTGCCAGGCAGGTGCTGCACCACTGAGCTATATCTTTGGCCCCTTAGTTACTTTCCTGTCATTGTTGAGACAAAACACCCAACATGCAAGATTAAGGGAGGAAAGGTTTATTTAGCTCTCAGTTTGTAGAGGTTTCAGATGATAGTCAGCTGGCTCCAAGGCAGGGTGGCATGGCAGAAGAGAACACTTCATGGCGGACAGACTGTAGCAGAGCAACAAGGGAGAGAGAGAAGGGACAAGCCTCTTTCTGTCCCTTATATTGTGTGCAGGCCACCCACATAACGGGTAGCACTCAAATCCTTAATCCCAGCATTGGACCATGAATCAATCACAAACTCTAGATTCAGCCACTTCTAAAAAGCTGACCAGCTCCCCACCCCCCATGACTGCATGAGGCTTTTGGGGGGGTTGTAGACACAAACCATAATAGCATACTACTAGCTACTTGCTTGATATTTTCATCTGGTTGTCTTATAAACAACTCAAACCAAAGATAGTGACAATTGAACTAGTGACAGTTTTCTTCTGACCAAAACCTGTTGTTCTTCTACTTTTACAACTCAGTTGATGGTGGCTTGCAATTTTAGAGCTTCTCTTATTGTCTCTTGTCTCAAGTAGCTGAAAAGTAGAAAACCAAATGTGATCAAAAGCTAAATAAGCTTATGTCATTCTTCTGCCCCAAACCCCTTGTAATATTGCCTCATTTCACTCAAAGTAAAACTAGTGCCTTTATAATGAGCGACCTGTGAGGACCAACATGATTTGCAACCCACAAAGACCACTTTCTCTTACCTTTACCCTTCATTCATTCTGCCAAGGAGAGCAGTCTCCCTGCTGTTCTTTTATAACACCCTGTGTGTATCTGGCTTGGAGATTTTTGGCTTCTTTGTGCTTAACTGTCACAGT